AAAGGCATCAGGTTTGCAAGCAAATTTAAGAAAGAGCTTCATTTATTTTGGAGGTGTACCATAGGTTGAACAAGTGCTGATACTGAGCCAACTGAGATTCACAAAGGGAGCACTACCATTCAAGTATTTGGGAGTTCCTCTATCTACAAAGAAGCTAACACTAATGCAGTGGCAACCCCTCATTGAGAAGATAGTAGCAAGAATTACATCATAGACAGCAAACAAACTATCCTATGCAGGAAGAGCTCAACTGATAAGAAGTGTGCTATTTGGTGTTCAATCCTATTAGGCATAATATTTTATACTACCAGCAAAGGTGATGAAAATAGTGGAAGGTTTCTGCAGGAGCTACTTATGGACAGACAACAATGTAATAACAAGGAAAGCATTGGTCAGCTGGGACAAAGTTTGTTCTCTAAAAAGTAGTGGAGGATGGAATTTGATAAACTTAAGACTATGGAACAAGGCAACTATAATAAAGTTGTATTGGGATCTTGCAAGTAAAAAAGACAAGTTGTGGATAAGTTAGATACATACATACTATCTAAAAGGACAATAGATGGAGCATGTAACAGTGCCAAAACAAGCAAGCTGGACGGTGAGGAAAATCCTGGAAGCAAAGAATATCCTAGAGCAGGAAAGTATACATGTGTGCACAGGCAAGAGTGTCATTAATCAAATTTATCTACATTTGCTGGGAGAACAACCCAGGATTTCATGGAAGTGTATGATGTTTGGAAATGCTGGAAGACCAAAAGCTCGATTTACACTTTGGCTTTAAATGCAGAATAGACTACTAATATCAGATAGGCTGAATAGATGGGGTATGGTGATAGAGAACAAGTGCAACATATGCCACCAAGCAGAGGAGTCTAGAGATCATCTCTATGTGAAATGTGACTACATGAAGGCAATGATGAACAAGATAATGCAATGGACACATAGCCAAAACATAGCAGTGTGGGATTGGAAACAACATGTGCAGGAAGTGACCAGGAGAGCTAAAGGAAAATCAAGAGAAGCCCAACTCTTCAAGATGGTATACACAGAGATAGTACACTGCATATGGATTGAGAGAAGACAAGTGTAGAGTGGGAAAGAATAGCAAAGGAGATTGCATGCGTATGTTGTGTGCGAGCTCCTCCTAGAATAGCTGAGATAGTACATAGATATGGATTCTAAATAGAAGCCTAGGAAGAGATATGAGATCCATTGTAAATATGTTAGCTAGCTGAGTTAGCTAGCTACGGTTCTTTGTACAGCTATTATTAGTGAGTAATAAAAAGTTAGTTACCAAAAAAAAAAAAAAAAGAATCATGAGTCACATTGCTAAAGTGGCATAATCATAGGATAAAATGTATGGTATATTCTTTTTTATTTGATATTGAAGTGGGCTCAATTATGCATTCGTAGACTAAAGAGTATTTACCATTAGAGGTTGTGCGGTGGCGTATACATAATATTTCATAAGTGGTGTTACAATATTTTTAAAAGTGGACTAATGAATAAATTACTATAACGATAAATAGTGTCATATTTTTATAAAGTATTTATTCTCAATATTTTTATTTTTTTTTATATATATCTAGTAAAAGATTTTGACGAAACGATGTCATATGACACTGCATGCAACAAGATACATACGCCCCTGATATTGTGGTGGGAGTGATAAGTATTTCTTCATCGTTAATCAGAAATTTTAGGTTCGACGCTTGGATATGGAGTTACCTTTAATAGGAAACACGTTTTATACCTAAAGTAGCATTTTCCCGCTCGAATCCGGATTACTCATATCCTAAATTGCGGATATCGAACATCGGATTAAAGGAAATAAAGAGTATTTGAGACACTCTAAAATGATTGGAGCAGCCTTGGAAATAGTGGGGGATCATTTAATGTTGATTGTAACAATCATTGTAAAGTCTATATCGAAAAATGAAAGTGAAACGCCACATACATACTTCTACGTTTTAATCATAGCGTATGATTACATTTTTCAAGTGACGATTTAGTCATGAATTCGCATTTTGTATGATTTAATGGGCGTTTGGACAAAAGAATAGTAAAATTCCGGAAAAGTGAAAAAAATTCAAATGAAAATAGTATTTGAAAATTAGAATCGTGTTTGGACATAAATATAATTTGAAGTCGTTTTTGTTTGTGAGTGATTTGAAGTGAAAATTTTGAATAATAATTTTTTAGAGTTTTTCAAATTTTCAAAAAATTTCTAAATTCAATTTCAAGTAAAATTTGAAATTTTCATGGCCAAACACTAATTTTGAAAAAAAGAAAAAAAAATTCGGAAAAAAGTAAAAATAATTCTTATACCAAATGGGCCCTTAAAAATTCTCTACAATTATCATTAAATGCTCTATTGTTTTTACCAATATCCCAATTAAGATAAAGTAAAGAGACAACTATCAAATCATAAAACCTTTGAGATGTCAAATTTAACTTCCTCCATAATTAACTTCATTGAATGACCTAATCTTCGTGATTTTGCTAGGTATAATAAGCCAAGAAAAGGGTCAATAAGGATATGACTCAACTTATAGTGATAATGTGATATACCATTTACAAAATATATTTAACTTTTATTTTTTTATTTTTTTCAGAATATATTGCCACCTTTGGCGCGCTATTTTTGAAAAATTGATCTCTCCCCCTCTCACTCCAAATTTATTTGGTCGGACTGTAACATGTTTTGAGCAAAGACCGATTTTATGATCCATTATAAATAACTGTCCACTCAACCACTTAATAGCCGATAATTATCTTATAATATATGCATAATCCATGAATAATGTATATAAACATGTTTAATTAAAATATAATCTATATATCTCGTCTAGAAAAAATAAACGAACAATCCGGCTGGCTATTGTGTAAAGATCCATTTCTTTTTCTTAGGCAACAAAACAACACAATATTAAATAAGATAATTCACTTAGAATCCAGGCAATTTTAAAAATAAGCTCAATATGAATATCTCCATTCAATTGCATGGGGTAACCAATTAATTTAGCAAGTTTTGACGATCCGACAAAATTTGTGGATACAACAACAACAACAATAATAACCCAGTAAAATTCCACAAGTGAGGTATGAGGAGGATAGTGTGTATGCAGATCTTACCTCTATCCCGATGGAATAGAGAGGTTGTTTCCGTCAAAACTTGTGGATACAACAACAACAACAACAACAACAACAACAATGACAAAGTAAAATCCCACAAATAAGGTCTGAGAAGGGTAGTGTGTATGTAGATCTTACCCCTATCCCGAGGGAATAAAGAGGTTGTTTCCGTCAAAACTTGTGGATAATTAAACATAATTGGTAGGTGAAGATAGAAAAAAGTTTTGATGGTAAAATCCGGACTACACCTCCATGTACAAACGAACACATTTTTCTTGCTATAAAAAGTTTGTATTGGAACTGATTAAAAAAACTTAGAAATGGTCGGAAAATGCAGGGAAGGACCCTGAAAATATTTTTTGTATAACTGATAGAAAAGCATCGGAATGCCAATAACATAGAACTGTGGGTCTGTGCAACTGAATTCAGGTGAATGTCTTTTGGCTTTTTTATGATTCTACTTTACGTCAATCATACCATTGTGTCCTTTGTATTTCCTTTTTCTTTTCTTCCATCCCAAACAAAAAAAGAACCAAGAATTCATGCAATAAACGTGTAACACATTTTGGAACTATGAAGTAGAAAATCAGGAGCGGATGCAGTGTTGCGATTCAGGTTCATATGAATTCAGTACTTTTGACGCGAAACAAATATATGTGAAAAATTCACTAAATTTAAAACAAATAGCAGATACAAATTCATATTTTTAAAAATATATAACGGGATCAATACTAAAAATATTAAAAGTTGAACTCATAGAGTTCGAAATCTAAATCGGTTAGAAAATGGCGTGCGTACTACAAGAAATGACCTGACCACTAAACACAATGAAACGCACTATGATTGGATTTGGTAACTGTGCTACATAGAGGGAAGTTGATTATAGATATGCATGAATCTTCATTTCATATCGTCTAGTCTTTTTCTAGCCTTTCTAAAAATTGTGGTGCATTGAACTATATTTGGTTCTAACGCATAAGTTTCACACATATCTATCACACTTCAAAAACATAATAACATGATATAAGTTCTCCATATATTTCTTTATTTATTTTGCATTGTTATGTTAAAATATTATGTCCTCCGAGGTTTGGTTCAATAACAAAAGTTGTACAACTTAGAATGTATGGCTTCACAATGTACACTATTTCCGAATCGGAGAGCCTTTTCTCTTTTACTTCACACAGCTTTTCACTCCTTTCCTTCATAGCGAAATAATAAATTTTATTACATACAAACCAAATACCTGCATTAGCTGAAAAAGGAGAAGGAAGGTTGGAATGCCAACATGCGTCTATTATTGAATTCACACAACCGACTCATTGTACTAGTTACTACTATGGTAGGTGCACATTTTGAGTTCAAAACTTGGCTTCACAGATCACACTAGGTAATCTATTTAAGTGAAAGAACCATTATTCGCCAAGTCTTAAAGCTGAAAAACAAACTCTTCGGTTATAAAAAGAAATCTGATAAGCTCTTGTTTTATATTAATTCATTGCTTAAAGGTAGAAATTGTTGTTAAATCACATATTAGTACTTTCGTCAATAGCTAAAATAATAGACTGCTATCTTTTCTTTTTCAAGAAGAGTAGGAATTAGTTTCAATAACCAAAAAACTGAACATCACACTCAGAAACTGATAAAGGAGGTGGTGAGGGGCCAATACTAAAGGGAAAATGACATTCTATAGCCGCTCTCAAAATAATAGCCGAAAAAAGAGTATATGTTTTGTATATATATATATTCTGTATATTATATACAAATTCTATATACTTTTTCGGCTATCAAATGTAAATAGTTTCTGTCACGGGCTAAAAGTGAAGAGCCCAATACTAGTAGCGCAGTCTCCTGAAATGGAAATATAACACAGGAACTTCGGCAAATAATACTAATATTGACATGTTCACAATTACAAACTATTCCACAAACATAAAGGTAGTAAAAAAATATATTGCAACAAAAGAAAACTTTACCAATGTTTAATCAGACCACAATAGACATGACAAGGACGAGACAGCAAAGCAAATATTACAGTAGCAAACAATTTTTTGTACTCTAAGATGAGCAACAGCCACCACTCTGTGTCACCGGCTGTCCACGGATATTCACGGTTGGAGGCTTAGCGGAATTATTGGCTGGTTGGCTTGCCATCCTGCATTTAGGAGAACATTAGAGAAAGAAAAAATAGAGGCAAGCAAAACGAGGACCAGCGCGACACTACTTTATCTCTTAAATGCAAAAAAGATCATTTGGAAGACCCCTTCAACAGTGGCGAAGCCACATGGTCATAAAAGATCATTTGGAAGACCACCCTTCGTCGAAAAATTACACTATGTACATAGGTAAAATATTATGTTTTAGAGGTATATAACACATTGAACACCCTTTGTCGGAAAGTTTTTTCACTTCTTTAAATTTGAACACCCTTGGAGAAATTCCTATCTTCGCCACTGCCCTTCAATAGCATGAAAATGAAGCTGAACTCTACCTATAACCAACCAACTGCACTTGGTTGGCCCAAACTAACTAGCCCAACCATGTAGAAAAGGCCCGCAACTGCCCCAAACCCTTTTTTTTTGTATCTGGCCAGAGGGGCGGTAGGATCAGTGGTGAGTGTTTGGTAAGCCAACAGCCTGGTGAACCAAGGGGGCCAAGCCAAGAGCAAGCTCAGCTAGAATGAAATTCTAACTCTCGCTGAAAACATCGTTTTATTCATTCTATTGCTTATGAGGTTGGTACAACAGCCTTAACGCACAAGTTTTTATTAGGCATTACACCCAATTTTTCATTCATGAAGTTTGGGCTGTCAATTGCACCAAAAAGAAAGTTCTAACAGATCTCCGACAGTTGAGTGTAGCATTTGAAAAGGTTAGTTTTTTAGCCAATTGGCCAAAAAATGAATCCACACCCTCTCCCCTTTTTATTTTAACTTCTAAAAATTACGCTTTAGCTCCAAAAACTTAATCCCCCCCCCCCCCACCCCCACCACAAACACACAACAAAATGAAGCTCGCAACTTTCTTTAACTCTCTTAATATTAGCTTAAACTCTGAATTTTCAATCTTTCAACTCTTAATTTCTCAAGTAGTTCAACAAGTTTGTGAGTCCAGCTACAATTAACGCCTCCAATATTTTAGTTACTATCGGCAATTTGTACCTAATTGTTCCAGCTTTTAGTTTAATAACTAGTCCTAAAAAGCAATTACTAGTTTTACTCGTATATATTTGTTACTCCCTCCTTCACAATTTATGTGAAAGCATTAGATGATAGAAAACGCAAAGCGCCTAAATAGCACCACAGATCAGGCTTGAGCAACTTAGGAAAGATACAATAGGTTATTAAAATTTAACTGCCATCTGAAATGAGTACGTGTTTACCTATTTTTGATAGCAGAAGTCATAGCCATGAAAGCCTGTTCTACATTCGTAGCATCTTTAGCACTGGTCTCCAAGAATGGAATACCAATTTCATCAGCAAATGCCTAAGAACGAAGAGGTCCATCAGTATAGTTTGAATTTTGGAGCAAAGAATTAAATATATGGTGGAAAATGGATTTACCTTAGCTGTTTCATATGAGACAACTCTATTTGCAGTAAGGTCAGACTTGTTCCCGACAAGAATTTTGTTAACATTGTCACTAGCATAACGATCAATTTCACTCAGCCACTGTTTTACATTATTGAAGCTCTCTTGATCTGTCACATCATACACAACCTACCCAAGAGGCCATTGAGAAACATCAAAAGATACAGAAAACAATTGATGATAAACTTTATGGAAAAGCACCTACTATTATGCCATGGGCTCCACGATAGTAGCTGCTAGTGATGGTCCTGAACCGTTCTTGTCCAGCTGTATCCCACTATATGGTGCCAAAAAAGAAAAACACCAGGGATCCAGTTAAAATTTTGGTTCGAAGAAAATTAGCAACATAAAAGAATTTAAACAGAAATGCAAGTGAAATCTTACAATCTGAAGTTTTATAGTCTTCCCATCTTGCTCTACTGTCCGGATTTTCTACACGAAAAGATTTGGTAAAATGAGCAATTAGACGTATTTAAGAATGGGATGGCAGAATAAGATCACGGAAGACTCCAACTATATATAAATGAAGTAGCTCATCAACTACAAGGGTATTTACTTACAAAATCAACTCCAATGGTGCTTATGTAACTTTCCAGATATGTGTCGTCCTGATGATAATAAAAGACAAACAGTTAGCGGCATTTGCAGAAGACACCTGTTTTTTGAATAAAGACAACTTTAACCACAATAAACTATAATGCGGTAACATCCAATAAAATTTCACTCTTAAAAATCTCTTAAGAATGAAGTTCCATAAGAAACAAGATGCATCATCAATTATTCAGAGGGTTTACAGTACGAACATGAAACTAGCAGAGCGTATCATATTAGTGCCTTAGGAAGAAGGGACAAAGTTGATGCTAGAAGTAGTTTACCAAAGTAAACAGGAATGATCATAAAACCTGCAAGATGGGTCAAGGTTAACACCTACAGACTATAACAACTCTACAAGAGTTCTAAGGAGATTTGTAGTTATAAAACTGTATGAAAATTAGATGAAGTAAAAAGGATTTTCAAGGAGATGCAACGCGGAAAAAATCCTGCCAGGTTTGAAAGTATTGGTCATTCAAAGATGTACTAATAGCAGCACAATTACAGAACCACCCCAAAAGGTTTACAGTTATTGATAATCTCTCCTAGTAAAAAAGCAAATCAATAAAAAACCTTTTTTTTGGATAAAGTAGATCAACAAGAAACTTGCCAAAGCAAAAGAATAGGGAAGTGCTAAAGCAATATTTTTTTTTGGATAAAGTAGATCAACAAGAAACTTGCCAAAGCAAAAGAATAGGGAAGTGCTAAAGCAATATTTTTTTTTGGATAAAGTAGATCAACAAGAAACTTGCCAAAGCAAAAGAATAGGGAAGTGCTAAAGCAATATTTTTTTTTGGATAAAGTAGATCAACAAGAAACTTGCCAAAGCAAAAGAATAGGGAAGTGCTAAAGCAATAGTGTTAGTCAATAGCTCATCGGTGTTGTAAAAGGTTTCGCTAAGGTGCGGTCAAGCCTTGAAGCTAAAAAGATTTTGCTAAGGTGCGGTCAAGCATTGAAGCTAAAAAGATTTTGCTAAGGTGCGGTCAAGCATTGAAGCTAAAAAGGTTTCGCTAAGGTGCGGTCAAGCATTGAAGCTAAGTATAGCGCAAGTTGGCGCATCTCCTTGCTTATGTGACTCCAAGGTGCTAAAGCATGTAATGAAGCCTCATCATCCATGAGCTCTATCATGAAGAGGGCAACGATAAAGGATAAACATAGTACGGAAAGTGATATATCAAATTAGACAAAAGAAATTACAATTAAAACGAGAAATTAACTTTCTATGTATAATAAAACTATTCCTTCACCTGATTTAGAGAGTTAAAACCAAAAGTATTTACATCAGGCTCAGAAATTTAAAATGGTTCTTGTACTTAATTCGCATAAATTTGACTTCATATATTTCACTTGTAGTTTTTCCAATTACTTTGTCCATATAATTGTTGTGCCTAATCATAATTATTTTTTCTTGCATTACAGCATTATTTCTTTATTTATTTATTTAATTTTCCCTTTGTGCCTTTCTTCTTGAAAACCCACGTTCTAATGAGCTTTGTGCTAGAAGCTCCAACAGGTTTTGGCACTTTTATAGGCTCTTTGGCTTTTGAAAAATGTGTTCATAGATACCTGATTAAAGCTCTTTGGCCTTTGAAAAATGTGCTCATAGATACCTGATTAAAGCTAACGAGAAGGAAATAAGAAAGAACACAAAATGGAAAGGTGGTGCATATGGCCAACATGCTCCCTATGATTTCAGTCCTCCATTTGTTTTCTTATCAGAAGAAATCAGCATTTATGTTTTACAAAGAAAGAAAAAAAGATACTAGAGTAGTACACCTAATTTCATGATCAAAAAACTTACGGCAAACCTCAGAAGAAGACATGATTTCCCAACGCCAGAATCACCAATGAGCAAAAGCTTAAAGAGGTAGTCACTGCATGGAAAGAACAGCAATACAATCATCATATTATTTATTAGCTTGCTAGATGTTTAAAGTATGGCTCTCTATTGTATAGTATGATACTTATTGTGATTAACTTTTCATTTTAATCCTAGTTACTCCTTATAAAAGATATTTTACACTGTTATAGCATGTAGTATGGTTATATGTGACTACTAAGATAACTGCTATTCTAGAAAGAGAACATTTTAAGGATTTTATCCATTTGATACGGTAAAGTAATGTAAACCAACTACGCCTCAATCTCACACTAGTTGCAGTTGGGTATAGGAATCCTCGATACCCATTCCTATCTTTGCTATAATGTTTATCACGCATAATTACTTGTATAAAAAATACCCGATAAATCACCCATTAACTCTAGCATATATTAAATTAGGGTCAGGGCTAATCAGAATCTAGTTCAAGCCTATTCTTCCCTGGAGTGTACCTGATATGGTTTAAGGCTATGTTAGGTGACATACGATCCAAGTTTTCTAGCCCGAGCCTTTGCTGAAATAGGATCAAGAACTAGGATCAAAAGCTTCCACCTAATCCACTCTACCCCCTTTCCCCAAAGAAAAAGCAAAAAAACTTGGGAATTATCATTATCTGAGAAAATATCATGGAAACATTTTCAGCCAATTTCAAGATAAGAATCAAGGTCTACGACTCTGCCTAAATAAGTCTCAAAAGCTTGAGCTATGGAGAAGCACTTTAGATAGTAACTCATTTAGGATAAGTGGGAGTAATATAGAGTACATGCACTGCAAGTTTAGCCAACGAGATAGCAAAGAAGTTTAGGTGAAATTAGATGGAATTGAGGTACCTAAATGCAGGAGTTATTTAAAAAGAAAATCTTGAATATCTCGGAATCCAGGCAAGTCTAGCAAAAAATGGAAAACAATGGAAGTTGAAAATATGTATAAATGATACCAACTAGAGGACAAGTGTTCACTAGAAGAGACTCCTAGAGGCTTAGTATATTAGAGATATAACTACCAGAGTATATTACAGAACCCTAGTGTTAGATAATCCTTAAGAGAGGCGTATTGAAACATTATGGACCCAAATTGAGCATTTATGATATTCAGGATTCATATAGTGACTAGTCAGGGGCGGATCTATAATGCACTATATGAGTTCACGTAAATCCAATAACTTTGCCCAAGACCTTGTATGTATTAAACAATCCACTAGATATCTATAATATTTGATTGTGAACCCAGTCATTACTGTATATTAACTCGACGTAGCAATAGGAACCCATAAATTTCAAATCTTGGATCCACCTATCCGATAGAGCCGACCCCAACAAGATTTGGATTAAGGCGTAGTAGTAGTTGTAGTCATATACCTATGAAAGTTACATGGACTATCTCATAGATCCTCTAATTTTTTATATTATAATGTTCAACCACCATATTTTGTGCACCAAAATTATGAGGGGATTTAGTTAGGCATTTTATGATAGTGCACAAACACGGATATTAACAGATGTAAAATTGAATGGAAAAGCAAGAGATAATCCTAAACGTTAGCTGCTACGTGTGATTTAATGACTTAGGGTTCACAAATAATTTCGCTAATATAAAATACATAAGGATCCTATCTGAATTCAAGCACAAAATCTACAGTTCGACACTGAATGTTAAAAGATAAATAAACAACATGAAATTTACTTAATGCTTTAACAATGATGCGATATTCAAAGAATAAGGATAAGGAAGAGGATAAATGGAACTTACTACTCGGGATTCATTGCGATCGAGGGAAGATGAAATTCGCCGGTGTCTGAGGGATTTACCGGCGAGAATTGACCGGAATCTGAATCGGAATCTTCGTGGGTGAATTAAGAAGCAAAAATGTGAGGAGCAAAGGATATTGAATGAGAGAGCACGTGTGATGAAGACACGTAGAGAAGGCGTTGAAATTTGAGGAAGAGAATTTGCTTTTCGTTTTGCTTATTTTTCTTTTCTTTCCCTTTGAGTTTTCTTTTTGGATTAGTTTGGATTTACTCGATGCTTGAACTTGAGACCAATGTTTAAAAGGCTTTTTCGAAACTTGCTTCAAGGCTCGTCTCGGGGCGTTGTACAATCGAAATACCTTAAGGCTAACATATGAGAGCTTAGTCTCCAAGCGTTCGATTGTGTGCCATAAATACGTTTATCGCTCGACGCTTAGAATTTGCCGATAATTTCTATGCAAATTATATGTCGAATTACCTAATTAGCATTGTTGTCCCTCAAATTTCTTTAACAACTGAATGTTTAATATTCCATTGATCTAAAATAATATGAAAATTGAAAGTAATTCAATTTACAAGCTATAGTATTGCATATTTGCTGATTGAGAATATTATGATGGTGACTATTATTTGAATCTAATATAGATAGCCAAACTTTATATCTTTACTTGCTAGATATTCTTATCTTAATTTTATGTTTCTCAAAATTATTGAACTTTTATTATTTTCTTATTTAAAAGTAAATTTATAAATTCAGGAATTATATTAGTACCGATGAACCTTATTAATTATTTACTTTTAAGGAGGTAAAATATATCGTTTGATAGTATTTTTAAGAAGTTATGACTTTTAATTTTTTGAAAGTTAAGACGCCATATTTGTTTTATATTTCATAGTAACTTTACCACTATTGTATTGTTTATACTTATAAAAATATGGTAGATATTTTATTTATTACGTGTTTCATTAATACTTTTTATTTTTCATAAACTTTTTATGTATTTTTGTTTTTTATGTAATTATATTATATTATTAATTTATAAATTAAAAAAATTAAAGATTTGCTGGGCTTATGTCCTATGTATCGAGACTTATCTTTTATCCCATATCAAGTAAAACGCCACACTTCACGTCTCCGCCTTTTAAAACACTGCTTGAGACCTCTACCTAAGGATAATTTGAGTTAAATTGTTCTTCATACTCATCTTTTCTCCATTTTTCCTTTAATTTTACTTTTAATAATTTGCGCATATGATGCAATTGGTAGAAGACCAACACTATCAAGGATTGGGGTAGGTATGAGATATATTCATCCTAAAAGGCTTTAGATTCACGTCCTAGAAATGAAGAAATTCTTGATAATGGAAGGTTTTTCTTTTAAAGGATCTTATGCGACATGAATTCAAATTAATTTGGTCAAATATATTTTTATTAGGATACATTGAGGTTCATCGAGTAGGATATGCTAAAAAGGCATACTTAAAATTTTAAGATAGACTAGATTTAGAGTACGCGTTTTGCGTGTGTACCCCATATCAATAAGTATAATTTTTTTTTAAATTATATAAATATTGTTAAACTATGTATACTTGACGTGCAATTGTTAAGTATCATTTAAAAAACATTTTTAAAGTTTGACGATGAGTTAAAAAAAGTATAATAGTTATGGATATTGGGATAATTTATATCTAATTATAATATTTATTAGAATGCGTATTTATGTTTTGGTAATAAATTTTATAGAAGGTAGTTTGATTAAAAGGTAATGGGTATACAATTATAGAAGGTAGTTTGATTAAAAGGTAATGGACATACTATTGTATACTTAAAGAATCAAATATAATTTTTACGAAAAATATTTCCTTACTTTTTTTCATTAAGTACGATAGTTAAATTGCATATATAATTGATTGATTTTAATTCCATGAATGGTTATAAATCTATAATTAAGAATAAGGAAATTAAAGGAGTCTGACCAATATTACCGACTTTAGTTATAATTTTTTACTTAGTCTTTCTCTATTTCATTACTAAGATAAATAATTATATAGACTTAATTGGTTAGAATTCTATGACAAAAAATAATTCAACCCGCAATAAACAATATCCACATTCTTACTTGTTCCTATGGATTTGTTATTGCCAGATTTATCTATTTGTGTAAATAATAAATCTAAATATTAGGATTTTCTATATAATATTTCCAACAAAACATTGAGTAAGCAAAATTTTAGTTGATGTTAGAATTTCAGTTATTAGAGAAAATTAAATGACTTCCAATATTATTTTTTATTTTAATAGTGTAAAGTTATTTGAACCGTCAACGAACATGACTATAAGAAAGGGACAAAATACATAAGTTACCCCGGAACTATGGACCAAATCCCTAGTACACACTTTTTGCGAACGAAAATTACTTTACACACTTAACCTTTTCAAAGTGTGCGTAATACATATCACTTTTGACTAGGTAAGTTACATGCAAAAGGAGCGTGTGGAGAGGTGAAAAAGGAGCATCCGGAGTTTTATTTGAACGGTGTAGATTTGAACAAATTGATCCAAAGGTCTAAATATTTTTTCCCCTTTATCATTACACACAAAATACAATTAAAAAAAAAGGAGTCAATGGATTTTTTCTCGTGGCTCTGATGTTTTGGAGGAGGATTCATTGAATACTTTTACTATAACTTAACTGGCGCAAAATTGATTTTTATGTGGAGCTCTATCATTAAATGTTTTCCTCACATAAGGTATTCTCTTGCTCATTCATCCTCTATGGTTCATTTCTTTTGCTTCTCCTTTTTGCCTTTATATATATTTCTTGTTTCCATTCAAATTAAAAGTTTCTTCATTTTGTTGCAATTTGCCTTTGGTATGTGCTGTATTTCTCATGAGTTCTAATTTAAACTTGCGCTGTAATGTATCCCGTCGCACCAAATCCTAATGCGGTAGCAATATATGGAAGCTCTAGACTTGAAAGAGTGACCTTTTTTCTTATAAACGTGGTGTCAGGGTCTGCTTGAGAACATACGAAACGCGAAAGAATGCTATGAGCACATATGTAATGCAAAAGGATGCTACGTTACAGGGGCGGATGTAGCGTTCTACCGGCGGATTCAATTGAATCCATAACTTTCGACATAATAAAAATTTGTATATAAAAATTTATTAAAATTGCATAAATAATAGATATAAACTCATAACTTTAAAAATATAATGGGTTCAACGTTAAAACCTTTAAAAGCTGAACCCATAAGGTTTAAATCCTGAATCCGCCTATTGCTCTCGGTCTTAAATAAAACAGTACATCACTTCCTCTTGAAACGCACGTGAAAGACAACTAAAACTTAATTTGTTACGAAGATAAAACATCAGTTGCAACGGAGGTAAACAAATAGTAGTTCATCACTAGGAATTAATCGTTCATCATTATTTTCTTCCATTTCCATCCTGGCTAGCTCTATATCATATCACCTGAAATTAAACCAGCAAATTAACCACTGAATTAGGCAGTGACATAGAAATAGATAGCACTATTTACAAGTATACCAAATGTGATCTTGTAAGTTGTAGAGAATGGGGCTTGTCCAATTCTAGACCACTCTATATCCAATAATATGCGAGAATGAAAGTGACCTTGGCGTAACCGGTGAAATTGATGTCATGTGGTTCGAGCTGTTGCAAACAACCTTTAATAGAAATGCAGAGTAAAGGTGCGTACAATAGACCCTTGTGGTCCGGCCCTTCCCCGAACCTCGCACATAATAGGAGCTTAGTGCACCGCGCTGCCCTTTATAACAATATGTGAGAATGCAAGAATGCGGAAAAGAAGTTCAACAAAGATATAAAGCCTAAATATCATAAATATTGTTATTATAACTGTGTTCGAAACCAGAAAATCAGAGGAAAAGGAAACGTTAGTTCAGTAAATAAATCGTAAAATAATTATGAGTCCACAAGTTGCTTGTGTGTTCTTAAGAAATTTAATCCCCTCACTATTACCCAAGGTTATGGATTACTTCCTCCTAGGATAGAACGGAAAAATTATTCTGTAATACTGGCAATCGATATTACAGAATTTCAACGAACTCAACAAACGGAGCAAATCACACTTGACACTTTATTTATTTGAAAAATAATGCAACAATACAGAAAAGAGGGGAGAAGTTTTCAGATTTTTTATGTCTGAAAAGTGAGGCTATGTCTCTAAATTTATAGACAATGAAAGGGTGAGATGAAGAGGTGCAATTCAAAAGGTGCCTCTTCCATTTCCCATTCACGAAACCTAACAATCCCCCACATGAATAGGGAATGACCATATTTATAAAAAATATGCATAAAACTTGTGTGATTCGCAAGTAATGATTAATCGCATCTGGATAAGTAGGTTTCCCTTTGAACTTTCCGTAGTGAACATATGTCAGATATACTCGGTCAATCGGTAGATTTGATATCTTTGAACCGTCGAGCTTTGGTGTATACCTAGACAACTATAAGTGACACAATCAACCCTTAACTGTCTTTGGCTCTCATTGTTGTGTTCGTTTCAGCCATGAACACCACCTGGTTTCATAAGTGAATAGAGAATTGGCCTTACAGAACTCTCCTTGAAGCGGCTAACACTTCACACTTACATAGATGATTCCTAAATTCATAGATACACTATTTGATATACCCCATATCAAACTTAGAAACCATTAAAAAGCCTTAACGTTTTATCCTTCGTACTGAACATTGTCTCATCATGAGAATGGACCAAAAAGAAATTGTATTTGACAATGTTGAACCGGTATTAATGACTTTGTTTGATCTCCTTGAACCTAGATCTTGGGATCTCCAGTATTCTAGGTAGAGTTACCGCCATAATGACTTGTCATCGGCCATAGTCTCATTCCCTTCGATGATCTCTCAACTACCTCTCTAATTAGGCCTTTTGTAAGTGGATCCAACACATTATCGCTTGACTTCACGTAGTCAATTATGATAATCCCTTAGAGAGTAGTTGTCCAACGATTATATGTCTTCGACGTATATGACAAGATTTTTGGTTATACATAACGCTCACGGCCCTTCCTATTGCCGCTTGACCATCGCAATGTATGCATATAAGTACCAATATTTTGGACTACGATGGAATTTCTTCAAAAGATTCCGGAGCCATTCAACTTCTTCACCGACCTTGTCTAAGGCTATAAACTCAACCTCCATTGTAGAGCGGCAATGCACATTTATTTGGACGATTTCCAAGACACTGTTCCTCCACTGATG